CCCCCCCCCCCCCCCCCCCCCCCCGCCCAGCTTTAAAAGCTGTGGCTTTGCTTGCTCTGGAACTATCTATGGTGGGTTTCCAAAATGCTCAAAGCCATCTATCTGAGCTCACACCCTGTTCAAGAGGTAGGTCGTACCAGTGACTAAATGTTGGGGGCCTCCCACTAAGGCAGAATCCAGAATGAGCCAGGATCATGAAGCAGGAGCACGGTAGCGGGAGGATGCAGACAGTCTCCTCTCTGGAACCTAGCTTTTCCCATCACAAGAAAGCCGGCTTTTTCTGGAGACATTTCACGGCAGTCCTGCATTCGGCCACCAGAGGGCAGTGCAGCCATTGCAGCATCTCAGCTCTGCTAACACCTGAAGCTCTGAGGTTTGCGCATGCATGACCATGACACGGTGATGTCACTGGTAGAGGCGGGGCTGAAAATTTGGGACCTGCTTCGTTTTGTGGGGGGGGGGCGCTTGTTCCGGTGCTCACCCTTACTTCACAAAAAAGCGGAAAGCTATGCCACTGAAATCCAGCCACCACATTTTGGGGGCGTGATCTCAGCGTGTCGTGCAAGTCACATCCTGTCTGCAGAAGGTGCCTTCGGTGCTGATGAAATGAGTTGCTTTCTAAAGCCTCTGGCACCTTGCATAAAATGCACCTGTTAAGACTTTCCTCTGGAAAAGGCGCTTCAGGTAGTTGTCTGGCGGGCCAAGCGGGGTCAGGCTGGCTACAGGGTCTGGGTGTAAGCCCTGCCCCTTTTCCACACACGTTGTGACATTGCACACCCTCCCCAAAAGGAGTGTGATACTTGTGCTGGTATTAGCCTAAGCCCTGGATATCACAGGGTTTTCAGCACTAAACTTCACATTAACTTCTGGGCCAGGTGAATCCTGTGCTTGCTTGGCAATAGGAGGAGGTTACTCAAAAGCGTCTCTCTTAGCAAGAAATCTTCACAGAAGGGCGTACTATATTCTCTGCTAAATCTTTAAGGAGATTTCACTAGAGGGGCCGTTTAAGATTGCCACTCCCCATCCGGAGTTTTAGAACAGCAATATCTGGAGGAAATGTTACCCCCAGATCTGGCCTTTGCAATGACTGGATCAGTTCGGTGGCTTGTTGCTCCATTCGATTACATTTTTGTGCTTTTAGGGTATGATTGATAAATAACCGAAAAATGCACACTGTTACACCCTATGGGTCGCAGCAATTAAATGAATAAATAAAAAGGTTGGGAGCTTAAATCCTCAAGTTGGTGAGGACTAACAAATCTGGGCTATAAAACGCAGGTGACCCCTAGAGCAATGTCTCTCAGCCTTGGCAATTTCAAGATAGGGGGATAGCATAAGATGCTGGCTGGGGAATTCTGGGAGTTGAAGTCCCCCTATCTTGAAGTTGCTGAAGTTGAGAAACACTGCCCTAGAGAATAGCTATGTTTTCTGTAACTCTCTACTGCCTTCCAGCAGATGTCCTGGTATTTGTAATCCTTGGTCTGCTGGTTTTTCCAGCAGCAGCAGCAGCAGCAGCAGCAGCAGGAAAAGACTTTCCTAGAAGCTACTTAGAATATGAGGCTGTAACCTCAAAGGATCTGGCTCCTTTTCCTCCCAGGCTCAGTAAGGGTTTTGCTTTGAAAGCGGGACTAGAATTCATTTCTGTTTTGTCCTACAGGTCCGCTTCCCAAGGGAGCTCCAGAACCGGGCCATCGTCGCCATGTTCTCCAACCACTCAAAGCTACTCATCCAACAGGTATCAAGGACCACCAAAAGTGCTTTGCAAGCCGATTAAAAAATTAAAACGTTACCCCAAACGTTAACCGGCAAATGCAGTTTGGGGGCCGTGCTGTACAGATATGCGTTTGAAACATTTGCGCTCACATTTCCACCCAGAAGATGGAGACTTCTTGAGAAGGACAACAATGGACCAACAGTGGGACTATATTTACAACCAAAACCTTAAATGTAAAATCATGAAAACAGTAACGGAAAAGAATGACTGCAGTTACAATCATAACGTGAAAAAAACAAAAGTTAATCCTAAAAATAATTGACCGTATTGGATGTAATATGATCTGATTTTACAAATTACCAGAAATTCCTGTAGTGATACATATGGTGGAAAAAAAGATGTGTATGAAATAATTAACTGAACTGTAAGATCCTAAAAATGGCACAGATCAGAAGTACTTCCACAAAGAGAATCATACAATACATGAGAGCTGTAACACGTGCTCAGCCAACCTCCCCACGAGGCCATAAGTAAAAACTGTGCATAAGTTTTTACCCTAGCCCACTTCTTTCCATCGTAGGGGTAAACACTACCTCATCAAGACACAGCAGTGACGCCTCGCACTTTGTTGAGGAACATCACTCTGATGGTCTCCTCCAGCAACGCCTGTTCTGGAACTGGAAGCACAATACACAACACACAAATCAAAACTATGCAGCATCTTAGCATCCCTTTTTAGAGGTAGAGACCATGGTGCTTTGCAGATAATCTTCAGCTTGGATTTCAAAGCAAAGCACTCCTCCAAAGCTTTCCGCAGCTGTAACATGCACAGTAGTACATATTTATAAATAAATATAAAATGTATTTACATTAAAAAATGCAGGTATGAGAAGTTAAATATTACTTGTATTTTAATCTTTAAAAAATCACTTCCTCCACTCTGCAAAACATTTTCCCTTACTGCTTCCAAATTTCAGAAAATGTTACATCTTTACTAGGGCAACCATCACGCACTGGGGGACTTTTGTAAGGCCCAGTACAAGGTTTCACAAACTGGGGGGAGAGACCTCCTTGGCTTATGAATAATCTTCCGAGGTGGGGGCAAAATACTTCTGCTTGTCCATTAATGCCAGAACAGCTGGAGTTTATCCCAGCTCAGTGGCAATGGCATTGGGAGGGGGGTGAGCAGGGTGGGGAGGTTAGAAAAAAGGCCAGATGGCCGTTGCAACCACGCAGTTGAAGCTCCACCATGTTTATACATCTGTTGACATTAAACGCATGTCCTCCTCAGCGCCCTGTTGGAGAATCAGGTGTTCTGTTCAGAAGACTAGCCTAACCTTCTGTTCAGCAAGATGCGTTCATGGATTATCATGAGTCAGCTGGGAAGAGTGAAACCCAATTTTATCATTTCAGGTCCATCAGTGGGAAGAAGCTGTGCTCTAGCTGCGGACACCCCCTTGGGAAAGGCGCTGCCATGATCATTGAAACCCTTGGTCTCTACTTCCATATTCAGTGCTTCAGGGTAGGCTTTTCTTGATCATCCTTGTTCTTCCCAACCAAAGCCTAACCAACCAGTATGTCTTCTCCTCACAGTGAGGATGTGAAGATGTCCTTAAAAGCTCTGCACAAATATTTTGCCATATATTTGTACTCCTGTATGATTTTTTTTAGAAAAAAATCAGATGGTAGGTCGTAAGAGAGTCCTTTGGTTGACTTTCTGGCATTCTTTGTGCGGCCATTCTTCATTCCTGAATTAGTTTCCCTCTTCCTTCTCATTGATTCCGGTGGTTTTCATTCTGTGGTCTATTATCCCAATATTGGGCAGTGGAAAAACTGTAAACGTTTTGGATCTGCATTTGGTTTATTATTTTCATTATGACTACAGAGACTGAAGTCATTTTAATCAGGGACAGGTTGTGACGGGCTAATAAAAGCTAGGGCCTGTGATTTTCATTATATTTTGCTGATTAATTTGCTGATTTTTTCTTTAAAAGATATGCTAGTTAAAGGAGCCATTCTGAACATCTTGGCTTGCAATTTTCATAAAGCCGCAGCAGTTTTGACTACAATATACTGTACGTGTTTTCTCTTGTAGAAAAAAAATGTTTCAGAAATCATCTGTTGAGACCTTCAGAAATTGTTTAAGTGATCTGTTGAGGAAACAATAAGAATTGCTAGCTTAGTTGGCTTTTCTTTTCAGTCTTTTTTTTCCCCAGTCTTTTCAAGCTCCCTTCAGTCAATTTTACATTTTTTTTCACCTTTTCCTGATTCGTTCTCAATTTACTTTTGATCAGTTTGTCTTACAAGTTTTTTTTTTAATTTGTATTTTGCATTATGTTTCACCTGATTTCTTTTTTTTTTTAATGTTTTTTTTTTATTTTTACTAACAAGCACAAAACATACATGAACAAACAAAAACATAATAAGGCATATAAAAAGCATCT